ACGTATTCTTAAATATAAGCATGCATATTTTCATGGATTTCGCCCGTCTGATTTTCGATATAGAAATAGTGTAAGCTCGTCTCGTGACATAACCTGTAAATAGGTGAATGTTTATTCATTGTATCTAAATATTATAGTCATCAAATTCGGCCATAAAAACAAAGGCAAGTCCTCTATCTCATAAAATAGGTGGTCGAATCGGAAATTCGGATGTTTTTATTTGTTCATCGTTTGTATACCTATATATCTGTTATGATGATGATATTTATTAATGAAATATTCTTATTCGAAAGTTAACCGCAAATAAATTCGGTACACACATCATTTCAATATAAGGTGTAGTAGCAACTATAATATAGCTCAGTTTGGATAAGTTATAACCGGTGGACCGGGGTTCGAATACCGTGATGGCGGTTGTCTTTTTTTTATTTGCATGTATTATTGGCTGACATGTACATGGCCCTGATGACGGTCAGAGTTTCATATTTTGGTACTGGCCCATCAATTTACAGAAATTTTGCCGGTCTAGCCAATTATATAGGGCCATCAAATTCTGGGCCAGCATAAAAGACCGACTAAAATTGTTTGCTGGGGAGTAATCATAGTAGTTTTTCAATTCAAAGCGAAAATATGAGTGAATCTCAATTAAATTTAATTCTCATCAGATATAGCGGCTGAGTCGATTACTAGAAAAAAAAATATTGAGAGTTTTTTAAGGTTTGTCTTTATTGTCCAAACAAATTGGATTCTTCTTCTTTTGAATTAATAGAGTTTTCTAGAAATCCAGATGTGAAAATGTATAGTGAAGAATAGTTTTGGGAACATAAAATTACCTCAAGATTGACCACAAATGAGGTATGGTGCACGAAACAATTGAATAATAAATAAAATCCCAATGAAAACTATTGGATTTCCTGATTCTCAATATCATTATCATGATTATTATTATTTGTTATTATTAGACGATTCACAGTCGAGACGCACAATAAATGGAGATAACCGTCAAATGAATAAAATAAATATTTCGACGAGAAGCGGATAAATGGTAGGGGTACAGAAGGTCATCCTGTATGCACATGGACTTTTTACTTTTTATTTATTCAAATCAATTTGATCGGCGACTTTGAGAGAGGATGTACCGTTCGAGTCTGATTTAACGCCAAAAAAATGATACGAATCGGTGTACATTTCACAAATTTGTCATAAAGTACACAATATTCTGTTTCATCTAGTGTTTTGATATAAGCCGCCATATCATTTTTGTGCAGTACATCAAGGTGAGTTATACCTAATTCAATGATTTTCAATAATCCTCATATGATGTTGTGGATATAGAGAGCATACGCAAAATATATGTGCCGAAGACAGGGACGTACAGTCCAAAATTTTAAAAACATTTGATGATAATATCGATGATATTATAAGGTATATAGACCTAGTATGAATTCTTGGGTCAAGGCAAACCATCAGTGGCGTAACTTTATATTTTTGCCCCTCTCCGCCAATTAGTCAGGGTTCCCAAGAAAGAAAAATGAGAGGATATATTAAAAAAATAAGCAAAACGAGAAACTTGAGAAAGCATTTTAAATTAAAAACATATATGTCACATCGAAACAACAAAAAATAATACAGGCGAAATGAAATATATGTATAAATGTATCAAGTACCCATATATATACAGTTCCGACTAGAACTGTTCGCTGTTTGGTTTTTCTCATTTTGTTATCGATTTCATTTTGTCCATATTAGCCGAGATATTAGCATCAGCATCCTGAGTCTCTAGAGAGTTATGACTATATATTTTCATCAGTTTCGAAAAAATGTTTCTGAAGACGCAATAACTGTCATAGGAAGCGATAAGAATAACAATAAATCTATTACGACATTAGTTAAATGCGAGATAAAATATGACGCCAAAATATTATTGAATAATTAGGAAATTAGCAAAATCTCGTATGTCATTGAGCGCTTTTATTTCTCCTTTCAGAGGCTGAGGCTGTTGGAATTTTCAATAAGGTAGTGTTTAAAAACTTGATAGCTATATAGTTATCGATAAATCGATATTTTTTAGATTATATGTCGATTTTTGCCCACGACTATACAGAGAAGTGCACAAAAAACGGCTAGGATTGTAACTTTTGGATTATTCTAGATAGGGTTCTGAAAATTGGTAGGCAACTAGTATACCAAATTGCTCATTAATGAATGAAACAATTTTTCCTCCACCACTTCCAGTTTCACCGGAAACGACCCCAACTTCTGATTTTCAAATGGGACACCCTGTATTGTATTCCATAATCGGTTAGGAATTATCATGACGAATTCAACGATACCGGGTTTGATAGGGTTATTTCAAACGAATACAAAGATATTTGCGTTCGAAGTACCCATCTGCGCAATAGGTGTGACTTCGCAACATCAAAACTTCTTTCTCTGTCACACTCATTGAGCATATGGAAACTAAGAACGCGAATATCTGCGTAATCGTTCGAAATAACCCTATCAAACCGGGTATCGATGAAATCGATATGACAATCCCTAACCGATTATGGAATACAATACAGGGTGTCCCATTCAAAAATAAAAAGTTGGGGTCGTTTCCAGTAAAACCGGAAGTAATAGAACAAAAATTGTTTTGTCAATCAATGAGCAATTTGATATACTATAGCTACCTACCAATTTTCAAAACCCTATCTCGAATAATTCAAAAGTTACAGTTTTAGCCGTTTTTTGTGCACTTCTCTGTATATATAGCCATCAGGAAAATAGTTGTTTTCTGTTGAATAAACCGAGTAAGAATTAATATTTTCATCACATCATGGAGAATGCGAATTCTCAATGTATTTGTATCAATTTTAAAAATATTTTACTATTGTTTGGATATTACGGAATAAGATAGACGCTTGGTCACAAAAAAATTCCTTCCGTCCAATATATTGAGAAGAAATCGATAATAGCTATCGATATATCAATAGTTATCGATAGTTATGGACAGTTTTCGATAGTTGTCGATATTATCGATATATTGAAATTATATATCGTTATTCGATGTATTGATATATTCATCGGAATATCGACATTTTTTTCCAGGCCTACTGATGCCCACTGGGAACCATCTTCATATTATTTGTGTTTTGTGGTGTTTCGTGGTTGATATAGAGACAATTTTTCACAATCTATCACGAAAATATATTAAATTGTTCCATTGATCAAAATGATTGAATTTTTATTATCGATCTGACCAGGATTGTATATCGTCATATAAAATATCACTAACAAATAAATTCAACCATGTTATATTATAAGTTATTGTGATTTTCCATTTTTATGATCCCAAAAGTATATCAAATAATAAGAAAAATAGCGTGAATTTTGAAATCGACTGCTTAAAATTTTTTGGTGCTTAGTCTTAGTAGATGAATGTCATATTTCATGCAAATATCTAGAACAGTATTGAAGTTATAACATTTTAAATCCTCTATAGCTCGAAAGTTAAGAGATTCAGAGGGCATATGTTCATATGAACTCTTCTTCTTAAAATGAGCCAAAGAAACATATCCTATATATATTTTAAGCCATCAATTAAATTACACCCTGTACATGGGACTTAATTATTAGAGCTCATGAACAATTTTTGCTCTGACGATAATGAAAATTAATAAGACTGAGGATGTTATCAATCATCGGCTAATCCATCCAGCTTGTCAATGTCAAATTTGGCTTCTGACTCAAAAAATTGCCGAACCCTTTTCAAACACGCATTCAAATCAATGATGATTAATGAGAAATACAATATGAGATAATAATTTTCAATATCTTCTAGTTATTCTTCGATAACTATACAATACCTAAAGACGATAAAAATTACCATTTCCGGCGGTCAAAATTACCGAGATAAACATGTCTATTATGCGTAAAAAAATGTTTCATCCGCATCACACCTAGATTTTGATTTCATATAAGTATCATCGCAGATAAATTATTCACTTAGAACCATTATTACTGAATATGTATCGCAATTCACAATTGATTATTATTATCACAATTTATTAAATGAATTTGATTATCAATATATTTTCAAGGTTGTATAATATGTCATTAAATATTTCATCATAAATTCATTCAGTCTGTATCAATATAACTTCTTCAAGTAAAATAGAAAACATTGAATTTGAAAAGTAAATACAAAAAGATTAAACTCATTTCCAGCCAGCAGTCCTATAAGACCGCCGACTCAGCGTAGCCTAGGCAAACAAAAATCAACTCGGCATTATATTCCCCCAGAGGCGTCTATCATAGACAATATGGAAGCAACGCCATCTGACTAGAATAGAAGGAGAGAAACACAAAAAAACTGGAATTCCCATACGGGAGTGGCTGGTTGCCCAAAGTGGAATGAAATATTAAATGAATACAAAAAGCTCAAAGTCGATCATTTCCTCACAATGTTCATAAGATGAACAACAATGGAAGATTTCGGGAGAAAAACAACTACTTTCCATGCTAATTGCTAGCATTGAATTACATCGTCCCGAAATCTGTGCATCGACTCGTATAAACGAAACGAAATCATCTGGGCATTTGTTTTTGGATGTATTATATGAATTGATATATTCATCAAACAGGACGTGAAACGAAATTCTGAATGGTGAAAACCTAATCACGAATCTGCGATTGAGGTCTATAAAATAACAAGTTTCCATCGTTCAAATTTGAACCCCTTGATTGGGTGAAAGCATTGTAATTCAATGTTCGTCGTGGCATATAGTCAGGAAAGTAGTTGTTTTCTGTTGAATAAACCGAGAAAGAATTTATATTCTCATCACATGGACAATATTATATATATAATTCTCAATGTATTTCTTCACATAAATATAAATTTTTTTGTATATAATTCTCAATGTATTTCTTCACATAAATATAAATTTTTTTGTGTTCATGAATATATCTGAGAATATTCCTTTTCAATAGAGTCAAATTTCTTTCCATGCATGTTCCAGATGCCCTTCACAACCATCCTCATCGCCCTAACCCTCCTACCCTACCTGGACGCCCAGCTGTACTTCCCTCGCGACGACGGCGGCTTCGAGGACTTCTTCTCTTCATCGGCTCAGGGCGTCCCGCTGGCTCAGGGCATCCCGCCGGCTCAGGACTACCCGCCGGCTCAGGCGCTCGCTTCTCCGTTCCGGCCCGCGTTCGAGATCCCCCTGAACCTCACGGCGCTCAGGGGTACTCCGCAGTACGAAAGGTACGTCGACCAGATCATCTCTATGGGCATAGCTAAGTTCACGCTGGAGATCAACAGGGACCTGTTGCGTCAGAGGAGCAGCGAACACGATAATGTTGTCTTCGCACCCATGAGCATAGCAAGTAAGATATCTGACATCCTGATTTTGTTTCCGTTATGTCGAGTCATATCAATATGGCTTGTTAGACACTGAAATAGAAAGTGCAGCAAGTTTTAGGTTGATCCCTTTCTGATTATCCCTGAGTTTGATGGACATTTTTTGTGACACAGGTCGAAAATTTGATATAAAACTATGGATCATGGGATCTTGAATGCCTAGGAAGCAAACTAGGAATACTAGATATATGACAAACTATATTACAACTAGCTGACCGGGCAAACGTTGTTTTGCTATATACATTAGTGCTGCTCCTAAAGTGGCGCATGGAGTTAGTAACAAAGCCTACACAGAACACGCAGAAAGATATGATGATGTGGTTGTGAGCATCAGAGGAGAAGTAGGACGGTGTATGTAGGTTGGGTGTGGAAAACTACCAGCTGAGCGTGAAAGCGGGCCAGCTAGCTGCTTAGTAGACCTCGGTCTCGGGGGTTAACGAGGATAGTTAGCAGGCCTGCTGCCACTGCGCATATGGTAGTGAGTACATTTCTACCCTACATAACACAGCCGAAAAACTCTGAAAGAGAGCTGATGGGCGGTGCCTGAAAAGGATGTTAGCCAGCTCTCTTGAGCGAACCACATCAGTCATTGAAAACACTTGGGGTTTGCAAAAAGGTCCCATTAGGGACTAGTTGCTGACGTGGAAACGTCCCCCACCAGTACCAGTACCAGTTGCTATATACATTTATTTCTAGAAAATATTTTTTTAGTTAAATATATAACAGCACAATTTCATAATTTTCTTTTCGACCTCAATCTTTTCTGAAATTATCACACTTTCAGATATCATCCTGTAGGTCAGGATTCCGAAAAGGTGGAGAAACGTAAGAAAATTATGTTATACCCAATTGACTGAGGTTGATCATAAAAATAGGTTGATCCCATCCAAAGTTATTACGACTCGAAAACAAACAAAATATTCGCTTGTCTTACTCCAAATGTGGAGAAGTTTAGAATCGGATATTAATTATCAATAAACTCGGACGTCATATTGGCTCTACCTTCTTAAATTTCCACAATTTGACCAAAGAATCATAATATCGCCGAACCCGAAAACCTCCAGATGTCAATTTTGAACAAACCGATCATAATTGCAAAAGTCTTCCGCCATATTGGTTCCGCCATCTCGAATTTTCCAAGTTTGACGAAGGAATAATAATCTCCGACCTCGAAAACTTTCAGATACAAATTTTGAATAGAATCGAATCATAATTACAAAATTCGTACGCCATACTGGATCCGCAATCTTGAATTTCTTAATTTTTTTCTTTCATAAGAACCTTCTCCTGATAATAACAAACACATGTATAGACAATATAGCCAATTTGATAGTAAAAATGTTCATTATGATTTCTCTAATATTTTCTTCAGGTGCTTTGGCTTTGGTGTTACTAGGCTCTAACGGCAAAACTTTCCATGAAATCAGCTCGGTGTTAGGCCTAGCCACAGGCCTAGACATCGAGCACAGGTCAATTCAAGTACACGCAGAACTAGGAAGGATAATAAACAAATTAGAAACCACCTCTGGCCTACTGATAGGTAAGATCTACACAGGGCAAACCGGGACACAAACTTAGCACTCTTGGTTATTACAGGGACGCAAGTCACATTCGCTGCAGCAGTTTTCATCCAAAACGACTACCCTATCAGAAGCCTGTACAAAGAAACCGCCGAGAAGCTATACCAGAGCGAAATTTTGAACGTGGATTTCGCATCTAACCCCACCAAAGCCCAACAGGTGGTCAATGCTTGGGTGTCAGACAGGACCAATGGCAAGATCAAGGATATCCTTGCAGAAGCCCCTTCATCGGCTACCAAAGTAATCATCGCCAGTGCCATGTACTTCAAGGCTTCGTGGGAGAAGCCTTTCTTCGAGGGATCAACAGCAAGAAGACCTTTCTTCACCAACGGGAGAAGATCTCGTTCCGAAGTCGACGTAGAGATGATGGCCAACGGTGGCGAGTTTCCGTACTACAAAGACCCCAACATGCAATGCGAAATCATGGGTTTCCCCTACAAGGGAAACGCGACTGTCATGTACGTCGTGATGCCCTTCAACTCCAACACCCAGATGCTTAAACAGCTGGAAAACGCTCTGACGGCCGCTGACCTGGAACGGTTAGCAGACAGCACGGTGTATACCAGAGCCATAACTCTGCTACCGAAAATGAAGATCGAGAGCACACTGGACCTGAGAAGCTCGCTGGTATCTCTCGGAGTCAAAAGCCTGTTCGACTCCGGCAGTGCTAACCTAGCTCTGCTATCTCCAGGGGAAAATAGCCTTCCCAGCGTACCAACCAAGATCTCTGGCGTAGAAAACAACCCACTGTCGCTCAACACCAACGATGGCTCAGTGCTCATTTTCAGTAGAACAGGAGAAGCCGTTGATTGCTCGAGCATCTTCGACCCGGCCAGCAACGTCAGCGTGTGCCAGGAAACTGTTCCTGGCCGCAACCAGAAGGTGTTGTACAAGAAGTTCGGGGGCAAAGTGGGCCGTAGAGTGGCTCGAGGTGTACCGGATGCCAAAGAGACTCTGGACGATCTGAGACAGCTCCTGAACCACCAATCGACTGACAATAATTATCAGAACCCTGGGTTGTACGCTGACAAGGTTTTGCACAAGGTTTACATGGACATAACGGAGACTGGGACCGAGGCGGCGGCTTCAACTTCGGTTAGTTTGTCTAGGGATGGGTCTAGGGTCACGTTCAGAGTGGATGTGCCGTTTTTGTTCTTCATCAGGCATGAGGAGACGAAGACGATTTTGTTTTGGGGGTCCGTTAATACTCCTACTCCTTATTTCAAGAAGTGATTCGGAGAGATATTATTTATTTGAAGTGTTTCCGTTATCGGATGTGGACTTTGTGAGGAAACATAAATCAGTATTCAGATTCTTATGTTATGAACCTTCAATATGAGTGATATATCTGTGTGAGGATTTCAGTGTCGAGAATTATGTGTTTCAACAAAAGGAATATTGAAAAACATACCTAATTATTCTTATTCTAATCAAATAAAAAGTTCACAATTCATCTGTATTTCATTCTTTTTTTTTGTATATTGAAGGAGCTACGAATTTGAGACTTTTTTTCATGTAGGTGGTAAACTTGCAAAAGGATTGGTTATTGATTCAGAATCCTATTCCCTTCATTTTCAATTCTTTTTGCTTTAATCACCCCATGAAAATCACATTACAGTACAAAAAATTTATAGTTTCTGTCTAAGTCATACTCAATTCCGAACTGAAATTATGAAAAATTCAATTCAGTGATTCTTTTACTGATTACAAGAGTCGTTTCATCATTTCGGGGAGACACTGTTAATTTATAGATTTATTTTGATTGATTGTCTTTATTATCCCTAGAAACATTTCTGTTTATAATAGCGATGTACAGTCGCATTAAAAAAGCGTACGAGTATATTACAGAGAGAAATTAACGTCATCCTATTCTACATACATACAAACGGACTATCAGGAATAATGCTTACCAAATGTTGACAGTAAAGTTGTCATAGGTTCTCAAAAACACAAAGAACTGAGCCAGTTTTACACAACTAGAACTAGGATCCCGAAAATCCCGATATCCCCTCTTTTTAATACTTGTACGCTTTTTTATTGAATACGGCTGTACATTATAATGTATTTAAAAAAATATACCTAATAAAGTTTTAACTAATGAATTCTCTTGAGTGTTAACAAATTAATATTGTTTCTTAAGATGGGAGATATAACATTTCATTTCTGAGTAATCAAATCTTTCCACATATTTTTCATTCAAATTGTCCTGAGCAAGTATTGAGCAAGATTGATTTTAAACCTTCTCATGTATATTTTTTAATTCATTTCGATCGGTAATGAATTGTATAAAATTATTCCATTCTGAAATACAGATTGTTTGCCAATATTTGACTTGAAATATTACGATTTGTATGTGATGATAGTATTCATTCGCTTCTGATTTCAAGATACTTTTTCAACATTATTTATTAACTTGAAAATTTTCAATCCGCCGATGTCTGTTTGGCACTGAATTATGCAGTACGGCCCTGTTATCTACAGAATTACGTTGGTAGCATTCATGAACAAGGTTCGTAGACTTGATATGATTATTCTGTACAAATTGTCCTCAGTTCTACCAACCTTGGCCATGTAGTCAGCCATCTCCATCTATTGGCATACGTTTCAATTTCCATGATGATAGGTGTCTGTATATGCAGTATATGGCACAAAGTATGAACGTTCCAAGACAGATAGTTCATCCAATCATCAGAAGATGGCGAAACCATTCACAAATAATTGGTATCAAAGTTAATGCTGATTTTTGAAAGATTATTAAAAGTACCTCATGTCGAGTAATAAGACATAGATTTCAAATTCGGCACAGTGTTTCTACGTGATGAATCACATATCTTGGGCAAGATGTAACAAAAAATAATTGTCAAGGGAGATAATTATTGAGAAGAAGTGTCTTCACAGCTATTTGAAAAAGTTAGATCATTCTAGGTAGGCATATCTCTATTTAGAATAAGCTTTGATAAAATGAAAAGATAAGTATTCACGCGCGTCATATGATACAATACCTACTTCTCAAATTATCTCTGAAACAGATATTGATATTTCATCAAAATTTTATGAAAGGCAAATTGATCCAAACCAAAAGGAATGATCATTAGAAACCACTAGATGGGATGAGAAGTAATTCATGGAGTAATGAGAAATAGAGGGGATGGGTCAGTGGCGCCTATTTTTTGATGAATAGTTAATTGTTTTTTCGTTTTAATTTGCTCAAAACATGTGATACGTTATGTTGAAGCTCTGTACCGAAAAATAGACTGTTTCAAATTCCAAACATCAACGCCCTGTCCCCTATCAATTGAACATGGGCCGGGGTTCATAACTATCTTATTTTTGTTCAAGGAATATTATGGTAATCAGATTGACCACCTTTTCATAGTCACCTTGTATTAAAATAATTGAATTTTTAAAAAATATCACTTTAATCATAGATTAACGATATCTATAGCTTCATTAAGTTTAGGTAGGAGAAGGTATGTTGGTAGAACATAGAAAGCAGCGCAAAGTATCATTTTAGAACTTTTTTATAATACTTTGATATGTTTTTGGATGTGTATGATGAAATTGATATTCATCATACAAGACGTGGAAAGAAATTCTGAATTGAGAAAAAACTCGTATGCCACGAGAAACATTGGAATCACATCTATTGAACACATGATAAGAATTTGAAAATAAAATCTTCTGAAGTTGAGAATTTGCATTCTCGTCGGATGAATATACAGTGTCATTCATAAAGTCGGCATCATATATGGCAAAAACTTTTATTAATGACTTATTTTGAAATACGAGTTGGACGTTAAGTTATGCTTCAAAAGAGATGAAAAATGGCCTACTCAAACGGGGTCACGTGACTTTCGCTACATGTCAAAAGTGACATTTTTTCAAATTAATCGCTGAAAGTAAGCTTATTTGTTCGAATATCGAAAAAGTTTACTTGAAAAGGTTGTTTCTATTTGAATTTTACATACAGTGACTCGGATTTTATCTTTCTATTACATTTTTTAGATTTCGATATTTTTTTAAAATTTTCGAAATTTCTGTAATATTAAAAAAAAATTTATTAATTCGATAAAACTACTTTATACCAGTAGTTTCATCATGCTACTAACTTTCAATTACTAATTATCACTAATTATCGACAAAAATATGATTTTCTTCAGAAAATGATAATCTCCCCTTCAAAATTCTGTTATGTTTGATGCAAACATAACATCAAAATTCTGTTATGTTTGAATCGAGCATTTAAAAACGAAATTCATTTGAATTTATTTTTCCAGTAGTGAAAAGACCAGTTTAAATGAATTTTGTTTCTAAATGCTTGACGATATATCAACTTTGCGTCAAACATAACAGAATTTGAAAGCGGGTAGGTATTATCATTTTCTGAAGAAAATCATATTTCTGTCCATAATCAGTGATAATGAGTAATTGAAAGTAAGTAGCATGAAAAAGCTACTGGTATGAAGTAGTTTCGTGGAATTAACAATTCTCGAAATATTACAGAAATTTCGAAAAATTGAAAAAAAATCTAAATCTAAAAGTTGCAATAATAAGATCAAATTCGAGATGTGTAAAATTGAAATAGAAACAACTTTTTCAAGTAAACTTTTTCGATATTCGAACAAATAAGCTTACTTTCAGCGGTTAATTTGAAAAAATGTCACTTTTAACATGTTTTGAAGCAAAACTTAACGTCCAACTCGAATTCCAAGATAAGTCATTAATAAAAGCTTTTCTCATATGATGCCGACTTTATGAATTACACTGTATGTATGTATGTGTACATAATATCATTCTGAATATTCAACAGGAAACAACTATATTATTCTGGCTATTCGCCACGTCGAACTTTGAATTATATCTGTTGAACATCCAAATGGAGTAGGTACCTACATGAATATAAAAATCGTCCTGAAATTGAGAATTGACATGCACTTTCAAATCGGATAAATAGTACATAAATGAAAATTAAATGTATATAGGAGAAGTATACTTTTATAAACTCTGATCTTGATGAGTTTTAAACTTCCAAAAACCATTCGTATTTGTGATATGGGAATATTATCTCTTACGAACAAGTTATTATGATATGACTTTATTCGAATGAACTCGGTATTTTCAGGTATCAAACCCTCCTCAGTAACCTGAAGTCCAATAATTCTTTCAGCGATTCTTCATTTTTTATGATTTTTCATCCTCCATTCATATGGCAATGATAACGAAGAGGAGTAAAGCGAATATATATTTAAAGCTATATCAAAGGGGTGCACCTCACATATGCACCCCATTGTATTTTAAGACGATCTAACAAATCCCTTCTGCAAACGAATGAGGTTTATACATCGAAAAATATTTTAGTATGGGAGCCAAGTGAACTCTATTCGCCAGGGAGTTTTGAATACAAATTCATAATACATGGTTCATCTTGACGATACCGAGTCATTACCCTTGATTTTTTTATCTCTTGGAGCGCACGAAAGAAAACCTCTATAATGTTCGTGGAACATCGTGCGTACCTGGGGAGGATGCAAAAAGGAGGTAGGTATTGGATTTTATTTTTTAATTTTTGGAAGTTATACGTTCTTGGGAATACTTCTATACAGTGTCATTCATAAAGTCAGCATCATATGGGAAAAACTTTAATTAATGACTTATCTTGAAATTCGAGTTGGACGTCAGGTTTTGCTTTAAAAAAGATGGAAAATGACCTACTCAATCGGGGTCACGTGACTTACGCAACATGTCAAAAGTGACATTTTTTCAAATTAATCGCTGAAAGTAGGCTTATTTCTTCGAATATCGAAAAAGTTCACTTGAAAAAGTTGTTTCTATTTCAATTTTACATATGTGACTCGGATTTTATCTTTCTATTACATTTTTTAGAATTCGATATTTTTTAAAATTTTCGAAATTTCTGTAATATTATTATGCTACTAACTTTCAATCACTAATTATCACTAATTAGCGACAAAAATATGATTTTCTTCAGAAAATAATAATCTCCGCTTCAAAATTCTGTTATGTTTGATGCAAACATAACATCAATATGCTGTTATGTTTTTAGAAACGAAATTCATTTTAATTTATTTTTTCAGTACTGAAAGGATCAGTTTGAATGAATTTCGTTTCTAAATTGCTTGACGATATATCAACTTTGCATCAAACATAACAGAATTTGGAAACGTGTATTATCATTTTCTGAAGAAAATCATATTTTTGTCCATAATCAGTGA